GAAGTGGGTAAGCCAGCACGCTGGCTGCCATTGTCCAGATGGCAAAGCCAGCACGCTGGCTGCCATCATAGTTGAAGTGGGTAAGCCAGCACGCTGGCTGCCATTGTCCCCTTACCAGCAGCCCAAATGCTCACGACGATGAGCTGGGCTGTCACCGCTTGGCCGCCGGTGGGGGGTTTGGGAGGCCGCATCGCACACAAACACGCACACGCTCCCTCAACTTCCACGAACGCACACATACGCAGACTCGTTTCCACACGGACATAGACACACGCACAGAAACCCACACACTACCTCAACTCACTCGACTTAACACTTCTCACTACACACTTACCGGATAACTCGCACTCTGATTTCCTACGTGATGAAAAATGCTTTCGGGCCACTCGTCGTCTAGTTTCTTTTCCTGTTTGATGGAAAAGGACATTTCTAAGCTTCACTTTCCTTGGATGCAATCTAAAGGTTTGTCATAGACTGTGCATAAATGTGCCAAATACAAGGCCTCTCAAAAGGTGGGGCATTGTTGAAGACAGGCGCTGCCCGAGAGCGTCTACTCTCCCGCTGGGAAAGCCCACAGAAGATGTTCAATATGGCCGAAGAGCAGCCACTTGGCAGAAGCCATGCTTGAATGGATTCAAATGATACTCGTAGTGCAGATTTGAAGTTTGATAAGTCTGGTAGGTAGACCAGACTAGTGAGTGGATGTTCTTCTCACCGTGGTGTCACCGCACTGTGAGTCAAACCAAACCTCCAAACCACAGTGGGTTGACATTCCTAATGGAATCCACGGAGGTTTCGTAATTTTTTGGATCACCCTGCCACCACCTCTCACTCCCTCCCTCGCTCTTTTTCTTTTGACAAGGTTGCGGAGTGCAATTGCAGAGGCAGGGCTTAGCACCAGGTTCCATCCCCTTGGGGCTTGATTATGATTGGCTGCAATTGTCATGCATTGTTTTTCTTTCTCCTGTGTGTTGGGTGCATGGTGCTTTTGTATGGGTTGTGTGCCTTGCTCAAGCGACACCATCTTGACTTGATTCCAAATGCTAATACCTACATCACAGTCAGTTGAGTCAGTTGTGTTTGGAAGCAGTTCTCGGAGAGAGCAAGAGAGAGGAGAAAAAAGAAGAGGAACTTGAGCAGTGAGTAGAGCAATCGAAAACTTTGGCAGCTTTTTTTGTAGCTTATCCCAACTTCAGCCTGGGGAACACCCAAGAATTCCCATGCAGCTCTGGGAGGGCCCTCCGACGAAGCGTGCCAAAACGGACGATGTAGCGGCACGAGGGAGCATGCAAAACCTTCCACGTGCCATACAGAACATGTCAAGTAATTGGGGCATGGCAAACGCAGGCACGCTGCCTGGCATGATGGGCAATCCTGGTATGTCATCATTCCCAGCTACGCCAAGCGTGCCAAGCATGCCAGTCGCTCCATCCATGTCATCCATGCCAACTTCAATGACGGGTATGACATCAGTCCCGGCGAAAATGGGAATGCCCGGAGCGCGGCCTCTCTCCGTGCCGGGTAGACACGCTGGCTTCGCGCTTCCGCCCACGCGGGCGCTTTGCCCGGACCAACGGTCTCCGGCAGAGGTGAAAGAGGAGTTGCTGCGGCAAGGCATCGAGATCCGAGGATTGACAGCAACGCCAGATCTGCTGTTAAAACTCCATGAAACTGAGGCGTTTGTTCGCAGGGCAGAGGCCACCAAGAAGCTTCCAAGACATTCAGACCAGAGATTGCTCTCATGCTTTACTGAAGGGCTTGCTCCAGGCTCAGAAGCACTGCTTGGCTATGTCAAATTTGGGAGATGCTGCATCGATGCTGTGTTAGATTGTCCGTACTCCTTTCGTTGTGGGCGTTCTGCAATCTAAGGGACGCGTTTTCATGTACAGGCAGCCAGCCACACCGGCACTCGTAGTATCAAAACAGCACGTACTGTAGCAGGCACGTGCCCGGCTTGAATGATACGGCAAACGTGAACTGTCAAATGTCACCTTAGAGGTCGATTTCAACATTCCAAGGTGAATTGTCAAAGAACTTTTCGACCCCGAAGGCCCCATTCAACGCCGGAGCCCAGGTTTCTGAAGATGCTTGCAGCAGGGGCTGATCCCAACACTCTGTCTGAGGGCAGCGGCAGTGGTTTTGCAGTGGGGATGACGCCTTTGCTTGCAGCGTCATCTTGGGGCAAAGTCGATGAAGTTCGTTTGCTCATTGCAGCTGGAGCAGAGCTGCGTGTGAGAACACCCAATATGCAGCAGACTGCCATGCACCTAGGCAATATTGAGTCATGGGGTGTAGACAAGACAATGGGCTTGCTACGCTTTCTGGTTCACAGGGCCATCGATGCTCTTCAGTCTCAAGGATTCACTTGTTGAATAGGATGTTTCGGGTTCTGAACATGAATGAGATGGGTCGATTGAACCGAAACTCGCTCAGGCGCCGGAGCTTTTGTCCGAAAAGAATGCTGCGGGCAAGACCCCCCTGGATTGTGCCAAGTACGAGAAGAAGCGACAACAAGCAGCGTATTTGTCGAGTTTGCCTCGGTGAGTGCGTAAGTAATGTGCAAAAGGTGCTTTGGAAGATGATTTATTTACAATGCTTGAGATGGCAGTGCACAGCACTGAAAAGTGTGCTTTTGTTTTTCTCTATTTTTCAGATGGGCATCGGGCCTTCGGGATCAAAGCTGGGAAGTTGGGTTGTGCGCCTTCCATTTTGGGGTCAAAGAATAAGTGAGGTATAGGCCAAAGAAGCTTTGATTTTGAGTATTCTAAATAGGGTCATGTTGAAGATTGTATGTGTCTCCCTGAAAGTTGCAGCGACACGATTTGGAACGAGGCGACTCTTGAAAGGCAAAACCCCGATCCCCAGTGCGAAGACAGTGCAGTAAACCAACCAGATCAAACAAAGATCAAATTTGACCGAGCAGCAAGACTTGGCAACGTGATGATACACCAGAGACATTGAGCCCTGGACCTCAGGTTTTCACAAAAGGAACCATTTGGTTGTCATGTCTCGCCCCGTGCATCTCCATGCCTGCTGGATGAACATTTAGCAACGTATGCAGTATGCCGTTTTTGCAGGTAGCTGGCCAAGGCCAATCTTCATTGCTTGCAGAAGGTATTCTGCAACTTGGACGATGTGTGACTTTATGGAATGCCAATTTGTTAGAAGCAAGGTCAAGCTCCTTTGTGCAGTTTACACAGTCACACAGTCTGTGTTGTGCACAGCGAACTCGACTTTGCTAGGTATGCTGCGCTCGGCGAATGCTTCTTTTGTCAGGTCGGAATTGTCGAGCTCGCAAGCTCAACACAGTATACCATTTGTCCAAGTTTGTTCATGTTTGTCTCCATTTGGGAATTTTGGTGTGTATCGTAATCGGTCGATTCATTAAACTTCTACTACTTCAACCACGAATCGACAGTGTGAGGCATCAGCCGCAAGGGATAACGCTGATCATGCCTGCAAGCGGTGCTTGCAGCTTGTCTGTCAAATTCCAACGATGTGGGTGGTTACGTGGAGTGCTCCTTGCCACATGGTTTCTTTGTTGTTTTTTCTTTTCCCCTCTTTCTGAGCCTGGCATGGTTACAGACCAACTGGATAGTCTCAGGAAGTATTTCCGACATGCCTTTCGGTGCCTCCAGCATCTTGGCCAAAAGGGGCTTGCATATGTGCATGTCTTGAAGATGACCACCCTAGAGAGGCACTTTGCAGACACATCAAGAACATGTGAATAATGCCGAATTGCTCAGAACTCTTGAGGGTTGTCTCACGAAAAGGGTGTATGATGTAGTATGGTTTTTGCATGGCCGCATGGCGGTGTATGCTTTGAGGCAAGCGGGGAAAGCAGACACAATACAATTTGCCGATGCTCTGAAGGACTATGGAAAGGCAGAGTCGGCAGAGTCGGGTCCAGTTTGAAGGTTTTCGAACACCGGCAAGTCCAGCGCTGCCTCTTCGGTGTTGGCGCTTTGGTTTGAGAAGAGCGATGATACGCCATGGAAGGTGCTGAAGTGTGGTTTCCTTGCAGAGAACAATGCTGCAGCGGGAGCTTGGCCTAGTGCAGTTTGAGCAAATGATGTCCTCTTTAACATGCTCCGGCGAACGCAACCACTCTTTGCAGGCAACTTGCCACCGAGGCGAGCATGCATTGAGGAAAGCACTTCATACACACCGACGCCTCTTGGGAAGTCTTGGCCTCAATTTCTGGCGCAAAGGGAACCGTCACGGTGTCATTCTCCATGTCATTCTTCATCTGGGGGCCTCGTAGGTAAGTCGGTCGGATTTGCTAGTCGGACCCTCTCCCCATTGTGCGACATGAGGTGACCATCCCTGCACCCGCAACTTGGATCGGTCTCTAGTAGAAAAACGGTGGTTGAAAACGCTGGATTGCCATTCTTCACAAATTCTGTGCTTGCTTGAATGCTTGAATTCAGCATTGGCCTTCTGTCGCATATTGCTGGCAGGCAACGTTTGCCGACTGTTGGACGGTTCTGACGACACGGATAGCGCCTCGGATTGGCAGGTTCCGAGCGTCGGTGTTGAGGAGCGATTGTCAGTGACCGTTCCTCTTCCTTTTTTCAGCAGCTTTTGGAAAGATACTTTGCATGAGATGCATATGAATCATAAGAATGGGCTGAATGGGGTTTGAATTGAACCGAGACATCTTGAAGGAGGAGCTCCACAACATTTGACAATCAGAAGAAGCATGAAGAAGCTGACAAGCCTGCGTACTCACGCGTCGCGGTTGCCTGCAATTCCTTGATTTATCCTTCAGGACCAAGTCAGAGAGACTCTCCGACTCTTTATTGTTGTCTTTTTCTGAGACCTGTTGTGGTGATTTCAATTTTCTGGCTGGGTCTCTGGTTTGCCTGCATGGAATCAGCTGGGCTTGTTGCTTCACTGTTTGCAGACTTTGGGTGCTCGATGCGTTTCACTCCTGCAGGGAGGCATAGGTTCCGAGTGGCAGAACCTTCAAGACACACCTGAGCTCAACATGTGAATCGATGTGAATTTTGCTTCCTGCCGTGCATGTCCTGAGAAACTGAGATGGGTGTGGGTCAAAAGGAAACGCCTGAAGAGTCCTGCAGGGAGAGCAGAGCATGCTGTGCGTCGATTTTATCTGTCCTCTGGCGTGGTTGGTGTTTTGACCCACCAAAGATCTTGCACGCAAACTGGCTGGGAACCCTGCAGAATTCGCCTGCAGCGTACAATCTCGCATGTTTGGAGCTGTGATATGCTGTGATGGTGCTTTGGGACTCTAGGTGTCAGGTGTCACAGCCAAGCTTTGCTCTATGTGTTACCCCATTGTTCTTCGAAACGGAGAGTAAGACCGGCTCTTCAGGCGAGAGCAAGGGATGAAAAAGAACTGCTCAAGAGCCGTGGCATGTGAAATGCTTCTCTATCCAGTGAACCTTCTTGTTAGGCCAGGTATGGCATGTGAAATGCTTAGGACTTATGCACTGGAAAGCGACAGCTCGACGCTTCGATCCAGGCGGACGGAACTTTGAGGGCCACCTGAGGACCATATCCCTTGCACCCGCTCTCTCTATCAGGGACTCATTCTCTTCAACCAGTATTTTGCAGTAGTTTGTGGCTGTTCTTGCAGGCAAAGGAAAGCTGAATCTTGATTCCCAGCTGGTGTTCCAGTGACTTGCGTTGGAATGCCAGCCAGCGAGGAAAAACATGCGCAAATGTAGAACTGCCACATCTGCTATGCAAAGCGGAGAAGCTGATGATTCAGACTGTGACCAGTGATACAGTAATAGGCATGCATGCCGTTGTTGCTCGACAGATCAAGGTAACGAGAATGCTGCTGCTACGAATTGTGCGTCGTTTGAAGGCCAAATTCCATGTTGAGTCGCAGTGTCAAAATCAGTGATCTTGTTTGGACTTGAGCTTTGCCAAGTAAATCAAAGTATATAACATAATACAAAACATAGTACAGAAATCAACATCAGTTTTGTGGTTATGCCAACTGCATCCAATGAGTTTTTGTGTGCTCAAGACTCAAAACCATTTCAGCCATGACTTCGATGCGCCTTTTGCCGCCATGTGGGGGCTTGGCTTCAATGCCTCCCGGGAAGTGCTGCTGGCGATCCGCCAGGCCAACCAGCAGCGTGTGGAGCACCTCATCGGAGGTCTCACAGCGGCCTTAAGACAACAGCGGGAGGCGAGGCGACTGGACAAACTAGAAGCTCGGGCTCCTCAGGTTGAAAAGGTGTGTCAGGATTTTAAGGTCATTAGTCGCAGATGGACACGTTCTCAGAGAATTCTACCACAGTCAAACTGAAGAGCTACGACGAGTGACGAGAGGGAAGCAATCCTTGAAAGATGTAGTACTTGGGGAACTGCGCCACCAGGGCTAGTTGCTGGATCACTGCTGTCTCCTATATATATATATTATATTATATAGTAATATATGTATTTTTATTCCGCTTGATGACGAACGTGTATCGGACGGTCAACCGTGTCATTTGGGACGTCGATCAACTGGTCGAAGACGTCCGGAAGACGATGGTGTTTCGGCCGTTCGCCGGACACGGGAAGCCGAGCTTTCTTCAGCGATAGTAATCGTTCAAATCAGAGTTGTGGGGACCGAACACGCAGAGTTGTGGAAGGTGAAGAAGTTGCGACACGTTAGGGTGTAAGTGTCTTCATGGTAGGGGCAGGTAGAGCGGAGAGCCATCATGCAGTGAAACGAGCAACGGGCAAGTTGCACACAGCGAGAGACATCCGAACTCCACCCCATTGGAGTTGCTGCAGTCCCGGAGCGACGAGATTGGCAGCTCTTTATGGGACTTTGCTTGTGCAGTCCAGAGACTTTCCAGTCTTCCCTTGGGCTCGGAGAAGGATGCGTTTTGGGATGAAGTGGTGCACGTTCCTTGGGCTCAAAACCTTGACGGGACGAAAAAAGGAGACGTTCAGAGACACGTTGCCATGCTGCAGCTGAGGTTTTGAAGGCCAAAGAGGGTGAGCTGACAGCCAGTCCCTTGGATGCAGAGGAATGATATGACTCGACAAGGCATTTGCACCTAAGATCTTTTGGAGCTCATACGCAAAATACTCGAGCCATGGTGTGAACACGAATGTGATAAGGAGAGCTTGCTCTTTTTTGCAACGCACTGGCGTCAGAACCAGTGTATTGTGGGACGGTGGCATCAAGTCTCTTACGCAGAGCAGTTGAAGTTTGTGAGGAGATGAGGATCTGAGACTGTGTGATTGCGGGGAGTCAGCGACATCAATGCTCCATCATGCTGCACGACAACTCATGTATACCCTATGCTTAGAATCTGAAGTTCCGTGTTATCAAATTGAATGATCCTACCTGGTCCTCCCTTATCCAACTTCTGCGCAAACCCGTAGGAGGCCTCTGCCCAAGACCTGCAAATGATCGTGCATGGACTGTCTCGAGCAAACACAGCGACCTCGTTGAGTCCGCGATATGTGAACCGCCTTGCAAAGCAGGTGCGAAAGGCTGGCGTCCAAAGATGGCTCAACCAGCTTATTCTCTGTTGGATTGAACATGAATAGAACACAATGATACACATAGCAATTGGATACGAGCTGACTTTGTGTTGGCCGTGCTTCGTTTTCCATAGCAGATGAGATGAGCAGATGTCGGCCCTTTTGGGGGGTTTACAAGCTTTGAGTGATCCGATGACGTGCGGGGCGTGCCACAGGTGGCGCTTCAGCGCGATCGTCCCTTCCAAGCAGCACAGCTGCTGGAGAGCTTCACAAGGCCAGAGGGTGAACACGGTGAACTGACAGCCAACTAGATCCAGACACTTCGCCCAAACCGGTTGACCTGAACGGTTGGTTGGTCCGAACGGTTGATCCTCCAAAATGATCCGAAGCGTTCAGACACTGTCAAGTGATCCCTTGGTTTTGAGGTGTTTGGTCTTGACCCAGAGAAGACCCATTTTTGTGTGAGGGGAAATTCACCCAATATACATATATATATATATATGAATGCTAGAGTCAGACTCCTGTCCTGATCGCACATTCTTAAAATGCTTTTAGAGGATGGGAGCAATTGCTTTGGGTGCAAGACCCTTGCTTGGAAGTGAGGCTGCAGCACAACCATGATGCTATCCTCTCGAGGCATATCTTCAACTTTGCACAGGAGATGTTCCAATTGAGATCTACCAAAACAATCCAAAAACAAACTTGGTTCAAACCAGATTGAGAAGGGACATGAAGGGACAACAACTGACGCAGGAGACTTGGACATGAAGCGACAGGAGACTTGGTCAACAGGTGGTTCTCTTCGCAGGAGACGCTGTGGAGGTGGGATGCCTCTGCCGTGACCGCACTCTGCATGGCCTTGGCGGGCTCAAAGCGAGCAGCTCGACATCCTTTGGAGACCATGGAAACGCCTCAAGGTGCAAACGCCTGGGGACGCTTTGCAGGACGTTGCGTGGAGGTGGGATTCTTCCGGCAAAATGGACTCCGGAAAGCTCCTGTTTTATTGGCAAAGCTCCTGTAGGGTGGGAGGTCTTCAGTGATTGCAGGACACATCCGGAATTTGGATGGGGAGTCTCCGCCTGGTACGTCTCTGCCACCTTTTTGTAGACCTTCCCTGGAGGTATTGCCCACAGCACAACCTTGGCAGCTGGCACAACTGGCACGTTGTCTTGGCATTGTTGGGGCACCAAAAGCCCAAGTGGCGCCCTTCTACGATGCCTTGGAGGACAGTTGTTGGGGCGCAGCAAGCCGCTGCTTTAGCGGATTTATTGTTTAAAGAGCTCGGAGATTCTCATGAAGGTGTTTTGCTGGACATCTCAAATGCTGATCTTGTTGGTGAGTTGTATCTATATATTTACTGCATCTGCTGCATAAATAGACTTTGGTAGTACGAAGGGATCCATGAGTTTCCAAGCAACTCCCCCAACTTCGACCTCAGAACGAACTCCCGCAGGAGAGACTGTGCTTTTCCCCTCACCTCAACGAGCTGTTCACTGTGGCAGATCTCATTGGACTGATGAGTGGCTTGGCACGGCAGCGGTCTCCCCTGCGACCGAGTCAAAGCATGAAGGATGCCCTGACCCGGTGGCCACTAGAGGAACGCGGGATTCTGAATGCAGTCATGTGACAGAGTCGTTTGTGAGTCTGTAGGTCACTGTAGGTGTTTGTTTCTACTCTTGATTCCTTTTGTATCCTTTTGAACCCTTCACCTTCGATCTTTTGGCGCTGGCTGATTTCTTTTTATTTTTCTTTTTTTACATCTTTCCATACTTTTGGCCCAGTTCTTCCCACTAATAACTCGTGTCCCAGGAGTATGTTGGGCGTCAGGTGCAACACTTCGATCCTCCGTCGCGCTGTGTGGCACTGAACGCGTCGATGCGTCTTCGAGCCTTGGCGAACATGGCGGTCACGAGTCGCATGCGTCGCATGCGTCGCAGCCACCCGGGTGTGTCCAACCAATTCGGGTCAAACGAGGAAATTGACACAAATGTTCGGTCAACCGAGTCCAAGTTTGGTCTGCTATTAGTTGCTGCAGTTACCGTTACCCTTTGAAGTGTTTTGAGTTCAGTTCTGAGGTTGCTTGGCTCAGTGAGAAGACTCAGTTTCGGACTGCCCAGGCCGCGGTGGGGACACACTCTTCGAACTCCTTGCTGAGCCTTTGCCATACTCCGAACTCGAAACCGAGCAGGCAAGGCTCGGTGGCCCGAACGTTGCCGCCGGCCCCAGGCATCTCGGTTAGCGAAACAGCGGGGCCGATGCCTCCAACGGAATAACATGGAATAACCATCTACATGCATGTATAATCATTTATATAAAGGACACATTCAATGTACTCATCGGATTCCACGGATTTCAAGACTCGCAGCCAAGAATTGTGCGCAGTTTGGCGTTTCACCACTCACGAAGTGTGAAGGTTGCACTTTTGTTTAGCGCGGCAGCTGCTGCTGCACCTGTGATTGGCCTGAGTCCAGCACTTCAAATGCAACTTGGAATGCCGTTGGTTTGGTCTCGCTGTGCGACAGAATAGATCGCAAGATCAGCATAGATGTCAACGCATACCTTCAGTTCTAAGACATCCCTTTGAGATACAAACTTGCGTGTATAATCCAGCATGTCCAGCACATGTTCCGCTTGGACATTTTGCGATAAGAGGTTGCGGAGGGTTTTGCCTCGGTGCCGGGCTCTGGCTTCTTCCCTCCGACCATGGTTGCTTGCCTGACATTCAGCAACAGATGGTCCAGGGATGCTTTTCAATCAGAGATGTCAAGAGCAGACGGATGTGGTCGGAGCTGCACTTAAGGCAGCTAGCATACATCGCTCAAGCTTTGGATGTTTTGGGGGAGCTTCGTGGCAAAGATCGCGGACCGCTGCTGTGGTCAGACATGACAGAGGCCTCCGAGTTGCTAGAAGAGCTTTGTCAGCGCACTGAGGAGGCGAGGAGTTGCTGGTCGGTGCCAGCGTGGAGTCTAAAGAGTCAAATCCACATTCATCCGTTCGACTCTTTCTTTAACTGCAAGGAGCGTTGCGATTTCTTCACGGCTTGTTGTGCGAGCTGACGCTGCAAACGTAAGACTACATTGAACCGAGGGTAGTACGTACTGCAAACCGTAGGTTGTGATCAACGAGGGAGCTAATTAAGGACTTCACGCAATCTTGCATTTTTTCATTTTTGATTTGTAGACAGTCATCTCTAACGTGTCTGAGGGTTTGCTTGTTCACAATCGTTTCTTTTCTCGAAGTCTCATCTTGAGGTGGTCAAGAACCAGGAGAAGCGGCAGCAGATTTGCACCGAGCTGCGGCAAAGCATTTGGAATCACAGCAGGAGGCGACTCCAGAGCCCAAGTGCAAAAGCAGAAAAGTCCGTGTGGTGTTTGGACAAATACCACACAGAGCTTGTGCTTGTCCACGTGGGTCAATTATGCGTGTGTGATCCCATATTTTGTTCAGTCTTAATCTGTGGCTCAAAGGAAAGGACCTGCAGAGGCAAGAGACTTTACCAAGACTTATTCAAGATTCATGCGATAAGTGAAGGAAGACACGACTTCTAACTTGGTTTTGAGAGGCTTCTCATTTTGGCTTTCTGGCGAAATCATTCTTCACCTGTGAGTCTCGTGACGCATTCACGTCGTGAACCGCAAGGCCTGGATTCGATTGAAGGTTTGAGACGGAAGGGAAGAATCAGTGTGGAGATCCTCTTCTCTGCAAAAAGAGGACAGCACGAGCATCAATTCAGCAACCAAGTTTCTGATCCGACAAATTATTACGAAAGCCAGCCGATAGGCAAGGCTTGAGCTTTTAGGGCGAACGAAGTGAGTTAAGGGGGTGTGGGGGTGGGGTGGTCGCTGAGCGGAATGTTTTGATAGGGTGAATCCAGAGCTTGGTGGGGGAGAGCGCTCCAAAGCGAGGGTCCGAAAAGCAGTGAAAATGGGGTCTAGTGATGCGAGTCTGATGTAATGGACGCCGAGAAGTGCATCATTAGCATCATGAAGGGCTTTGGAGACTACTTGGACAATGGGCATATAGGACTCGAGTGGAGACAGGGACCCCCACGTACAGGGACCCACATAATGAAGCGGCAGCTGGCTTTCGTCCCCCCTTCTCAGCTACTAGGAACAATGTTCGCTACTACGGGCTCCTGGCATCGCTACTAGGGGCATCGCTACTAGTGTCATTGCAAGCCAGGGTCGTGCAAGCCGGGCCGTATATCATGTAACTCCAGTGTCGGACTAGTGGTAGCAGGGAAACAAACGGGATCCTGATACTTGGGCTCCAAACTCTCAGTTCCTAACTAGCCTCAAAGTGAAGACGAGGAGGTTTCCTCCCTTCAGCCCGGTCTGTGAGGCGACATGCCGACCGCTGAGCCCGCTTCCTTCGATGCAGTGTCGATGTCACCCGATGTGCTTGAAAGCCCAGCTGTCTCTGTGCTGTGTTGACAACACTATTCCATGAACCTGAATAGATCATGGATGTAGTTTGTAGCTGCAGAGATTGAACAAGGGACACTTCATTCATTCCTTTCCGATTGTATGAATGACTGATCAACGCCGCTCCATGCAGTTGATAAGTAAGTGCATTTCTATATACTGTGAACGCTTTGGGATGCTTTGGACATCGCTGTAGGCCTCGGGGTGGAGCTCAGGGTGGAAACGCAGAGGTCCGGAACCCATGGAACTTCACAAGGTCAATGCTGCAGTTCTTCAGTTGCGCTCCAGGCCTCGCAGAATCGGCTAGTACAGATGCTGCAGTTTTGCCCTTGGCTTCGTATATACCATTATATATAGTTATAAGTTATATTTATATACCCGACTGGAGACTTTGAACCAACAAAGCGGGCTTCAGCGACAGCTCGTGCCACTCTCTGAGGACTGCAGCCCATCCTGCGACCTGCGTATTCCACGCGGCCTTCAAAATTGTTCGGAGCCCGGAGGATCAAAACAATCCACGCAATCAACAGGTCGCGAAAGTACTTGCATCCAAGACAAGTGATACAAGTCAGATTGGGTCTCTGTACCGTATGCCAATCACTTTGCTTCATGGTGCATGTGTTCCGTTTACGACAACTCAATTTTACATTTTACGACTTCTGGCAGGAGGATCGAGACACTGTTCGGCTTCGCTAGCGGGTGTTTGTGTCTTGTGACATTCCTTGTAGCTGAGGTGGTGCTCCTGATATACATCTATGGACGCTACATCCACAGTGCGTATGTTGGGATCTCAATTGTCAACCCCTCATGCTTTTGGAGCATTTTGTGGTGCTTGGATGGAGATTGCACGACAAAGTGATTTGAATATCAACTTCATTGCTGCTGCTACTGTAGGTCTTTCAGATTCTTGCTTGTTTGTCATAACGAATTACCTCCAAGTTTGTTGTAATTACGTTAGGACTGGTGGTGTTCCGGGCGATTGTGTTTGGGTTAGATTCTTTCTGGGCTTATTATGTTCTTTTGTATTGGGCAGTTTATGCCAATGCATAGCTTCGGTTTGCAGTGGGGGTTTGGACTCATTTCTTGACACTAGAATCAGAAACAAGACTGAGGTCTCGACGTTCATCCTTTGCACCATCTTTGCAGCCTTGGATTTCTGGACGGTCCGGGTCCAGCTCGCAAGTGTTTCAAGTGAAAGACATCAGGACAGCTGTGAAGTTGGAGCAATAAGTTTGGTGATTTGGATGGCCGCTACTTCTTGTTGAGGTGAAGAACATCTCTGGAAGACTCTTGGTGGGTCTGGGTCTGAGAGAAGGAAGAGCTTCGATTGCGTTGGGATTTCTTGGTCGAACGGACCTGCAGGCCTGCGGTGGTGGAACCTAGTCAAAGATGACGGTTCTTCCGAGTGGGTTGCATCCCAAGAGACGCACCGGCGTTTTTGATAATGTGAAATCTCTGTCCTGCTCCTAGTAGCTTCTTGCTCCTAGTAGTACGGCCAGGAGCCCCTAGTAGCAAGTAGTATTCCAGAAAAGCTCCTTTGTATGGCATTTCCATGTTCAAGAACTCTTTCTTAGGTCTTTGAATCGAATCCAGATGAGGGCAGCCTGAATGCTACCGCAATCACCTTACTGTTCACCCGCTTTCGATCTGTCACTTTGACACTGTCACTAGACTTTTTGAGCGGCTGAAACCGCTGTGCACGTCAACCAGGACAGGAGCATTTTCTGGGGTGTCACATATGTGTGGCCAGTGCTTTGTTCTCAGACTTCCCAAGCTTTTTGGTCAAGATGTAGACTCTACAGCAGACTTTGCAGACATTCTCAAATCCATACAGTATCCATCCGACATAAATACCAGCAATCAATGGCAGTGCATTTGGGACTGCATCTGCAACATTCAGGCTTTGGGCTGTCTTCCTTTTCATGAACATCCTCAACTTTAGCCTGGTCCGCTGCCTAGGGCGACGCGACCCCTTACAGGCTCGGCCACCCGACGCAGCTCCATTCTTTGCCAAGGATTGGGTGCTCCTGAACATCATGATCTTTGTTTTCGCTGGGACCAACCTGGCTGGGTGCGCTCATTTTCGTTCAGATCCTGTTCTTTGAAGCGTATCAATATGCCAACAGACTTTGTCTTGGATGCTTCAGATTAGGTACTGGAAATCTTAGATGCTTCAGATTAGGTACTGGAAATGCTCCACAGATGCCAAGAAGCGTGCAACGCAATGGGTTCAGTTCGGCCCTTGAATGCAGCTGCATTCTGCGTTCAAGCAAAGCTCCTTCGGCACCCTTCGGATCTTCGTGGCGCTTTCCCAGGAGCGAAGGCATGAGGGCCGTCGCTGGAGCCATGGGCTTTGCCTAACGACGACGTTCAACGGATCCAAAGTGGTGCGGGACGCAGCAGGGACGCGGCGGGGAGGCGATTCACCATGGGGGACCTGTGAGGAAGAGACGGTTTCGGCTCAACGTTTTGTTTCGGCTCAAGAGAAGGTTTGCGAAACCAAATGCATCTCTCAGGACGGACAAAAGAGGGTGATCCCGTGAAATATGCACAGTTTTACGCATAATTTCCCTATTGCATCCTACTGAGTACGCGGTATACTTATACAACTTAACACACACACATATATATATACAGTATATATATATATAAACATATGCATATGTTTAAACTACCAGCGGCTGCTACATATGTGCTTAGAGTAGGGCAGCAGATCCAAGACAGCCTCGGTTAATGTAGTTTTTTGAACACCATGTGCAACCTAAAAAGCCATCAGGGCAGGCAGGTGCGATCTAAGACAGCCCATGACCTGAAAAGCTGATGGCTGGATACTCTGAGGTGCACTTGCTGAAGTGCATGTTGTCAAATGATTACGTAACTTTTCCTTTGTTTCTTGCGACCTAAAATGAGTTACCTTATATAAGAGGACTCGCATGAGTCGAGAGATCGACATTGAAGTTTGACAGGCCAAACCAGCCAAAGTGCTTGCTGCCAACGACTTTGTCGTAGGTGAGAATGTCGAGGCGGACTATCATATCTCTGCGTTGGGGCTGTGGAAAACCAACCAGTGCCCGCAAAGGTTTGGAGCAATAGCCGCAACAAGTGGCTGCCAGCCGTTGCCACCTAGCTCGAATTGATGATGTAGTCACCTCTGTCGGCACTGTAGTGGACTTCTTTCATTCATTTGACCCGTGGGAAAGACGGTGATTGAACTTCGAAGCATGCCGGGTAACATCATAAGTTCAAACACATTGTTAATATCACATGGTTGTGGGGTCAAAATCGGGGGACCCGGGTTGATCACCGAAAATGAACAGAACTACTAGGGAGGTCAAGCTAAGAGGGTTTAGGACTCCAGGTTTTCGTCCACAGCCATATCAATTCCCTGGAGTGCAGGATCCAGTGCTCTGAGGTCCATGGCGTTTATCTACAGGCCACAACAACTGAGGGCTTTGACGTGCCGCCGGGTTCTGTGACCCTGCCATTCTTGATGAAGCAAACAAAATGGACAGGTGCACTGCAAGAGGTGACAAGCATCTGATTGCCAGGTGAAAGTCTTGTCAGAAGCTGGCGTCAAGTGGGCTTTTGCCTCGGGCCCTTTTCAGGCTGTCATTCTTTTTGGAATTGTTTAAAGATCAAGCTTTGACTTGAGACGCCTTTTTCTGCTAGACTCTACTAGACTCCTAGACGGTATCAGTAAAGCAACCCTTGGCTCCAAGGTGCTTGCCGATAGTGTGGCCGTTGTGCTGCGAAAAGTCGCTCTGGAGGCCAAACTCAAGACTTGGCACAGCTATATAAAGCGACACATTTCGGTACAAATGCAGCACCCCCGTGCTGGGTTGGCAAACTCTGTCAGCTTCGTGCCAGGAAAGTTTTCCAAGCAAGGAAGCCAAAGGCGGAGCTCTCAGGTACTGTACTGTGCTGACACGATGCATATTTGTTTTGGCATTTCTCCCCAACAGCGAAGCTTTGAGGGGTCTTCAGCCATAGTAATATATAGGCTTCGGAGCAGATCGGAGCAAGCTCCGGAGCAGGTTACGGAGGAGCCTGAGGAGGTTCTGGAGCAAGTTCCGGAGTTCCGGAGTAGGGTACTGGAGCAAGTTCTTCGGAGTTTGGGAGCAGCTTCCCACTTGCCGCAGGTTCCGGAGGGCGTTGCAGATATGAAGTGCCGCTGTGATAACGTTGTCAGGGCGTAGTGATGACGTGTCACGATAGTGGCTTGTTACGGAGCTGACATATTGGCGCACCATCGGGCTACCATGCGGCTCTTGCTGACCTGCTGTCATGTTTCACTTCTGACACGCAAAGGTGTTGCTACGCCGACAAGCTGACATGGTGTCATGTTGGTGTGTTGTGTGTAAATATAAAAAATATCTCTTTGTATAGATCAGATGCTGTCACACAGACCTGCAGACACGCTGACATGGCTCATGTTGTGGGTTTCTATGTTGGCATGGTGTCACGCCGACAAGCTGTCAGGCTGTCGTGCTGACATATATTGCCATACTGGCACGGGCTACACTAACATGATAACACTTTGTCACGCTGAGATGCGGGAAATCAGGTCGCGCTGTCGCGCCAGCGTGTTGACTGGCTCCGAAGCCAGTTCCGGAAGAGGTTGTCTGACTTCTGACAAACACACACCGCTTGTTCATAAAGCAATGCCAAATGTTGCCATTGCTTAATTAGCGCACTCATGCCCAGCTGTTGGAGACGTTTTCTTGGGCTTATGTTTACATTTGGTGCAGAGCTTCGTGAAAGTCAACCTACCCTGGTGGGACGTAGAAGGCATAGCCTGGTGGCCTTCATACACTGAATCTTTTCTTCTATATATATAATTGTGACTCATGACCTGAGCATGTACATTGCATCGTTTCTTCAGTGGCCATGTCGCCATCGAAACCCATAGAAGCGTCGTCGATCCTGCCGTCCCTTGAGGTGCTCCCGGTCCTTCAGCGCGACTTTGTCGCTTTGGTTTGCAATTGAAAGAGGAACATTGCATGTCTGTGTGTCCACTGGTTGGAGTTAACCTTTCAAATTGCAACTCAGAAGTCTACTTTTAGCTAGAGAGCGCATCTTGAAGGTAAGAACAATTGCGGCAGGCTGGTGGCAGCAGAATTGGTACTCCTTGTGTTGCACTAATTGTAAACTACGAAGTCACTAGATCATGTACATAAAAATTTGAACCAATCAAGGCAGGGCAAACAATAATAAATTAGATCCTCGTGATACAGTAATTTTGTCAACAACAGAACCTCACGTGGAAGAGCAGGCAGGTGCTGGAAATGGTGTTCAAACACTCTGCTTGTCAGGGCTGTCCAACCCGGCCTGACGAGAGGCCAGACTCGGCGGCGGTATCTCGCGCACGCACGCGCCCCGGCACGCCCTGTGGATAACCGTGGCACGGTCCAGGTCTCAAGCCTTATGACACTTGCTGCAAGCGGTGCGCGCAGAGTCCTGGCAGCAACGAACACGATGAGCTGCAGCCTGAGTTTTGGAGCTGGAACGAGGAGCTGCACTAGAAAGAATTGGAGAACCAGTTCTTCTGCTTTTGCCCAGGAACTGCGGAGGCCGGCATCCAGACAGGAGTCCCAGCGTCCCCAGCAGCAGCCCTGGAGTGACCTCCCATTAAGGTTTTCTGAATTCTGTCCACCCAAGCCTTTACAGGCACAAGCCAGGCGAGGTTCAGTTTGTTTGGTTCAGTTTGAATGAGTACATTGTAGGAGCAACGACGCTACTAGGGACTCCTGGCCGGACTTCTAGGAGCAAGAAGCTACTAGGCATGTGAAAAGGCCTTTATGTCCATTTTGTGGGCTTTGCGCTTTTGCTTCTGGGGACAGGGAAAAGCAATTCAGATGCTTTTTCTCGGACACTAAGGTTGCCAGAATGATACATCGGTACACTATGGTACACCTTTGAGCTTTGGATTTCACAAAGCTCTCAGAGTTTCAACGCTCCTCCAGTCGTCCTTCGCGCACTTTCACCACTTTCCCTCACTTCCACTTGCTTTCACTCGCTCCCTTACACCCTTGCTTGCTTTTCCTTGCTTTTTAACATCCTATTTTAGCGTGTCGTGTGTATATATATATATATATACATATGCATAGACACATCTACAGTAGATGCTGTGTAATGTTAGGCCACATCTATGTATGTATATTCTGCATGTGCTGTGCACAGTTCCTGTGATGTCCATCGTAGGCGGTGGGTACAAGTATATTCAAGGGTCCGTTTGGTTCGCTTGCTAGGTACTTTCTAGCCCTATCTAGCTCTCCTTACAACACTTTTAGTCTGGTGACAGGAAGCAAACACGACATGTACTCGTCCAGTCGATCCCAGGTTTAGATTTGCAGCAAAGTTTGCGGAGCGAACTGGAGGTGGGGTGAACTTTGGGCGAGATCGGGCAAACAAAAACATTTTTGCGCAGTAGGTCGGACGCCATCGCTACTAGGTTGGATAGTTGTTGATACTTGCACTCGTACGTGTTTAGTCGATTTATGACACACGGCCACCGGTCATATGGAAGGTAGACTGTTCATTTTGTTTGTCCAAGGGGATCACTCGCGTCCTCTTACTGCTGCAATCTGCTGCACTTGCTCATGCTGCCATGGAGTTTTCTTTTTACTTAACTTTTGTGCAAACACATGGGACTTTGGGGAGGAACAATCTTTTCTTACCAAAAAAGAACCCAAAGATATCAGCGAGGTTGTGTTGATTTGAAAGCGGCTGGACATGGCACTTTTCCCTTTCAGAACAGTTGCCTTCTCAAATGAAGAACTGTGCTCACCACGGCATAAACCCAACAGCTTTAAGCCACGTGTGCGGTTTGCGTGCTTTATAAGATTTAAAAACATGTCAATGTTTGCTTAGATGTGCTTTTGTTCTCGGCAGGCTATGTTGAAAGAGCCAGCCGCATTGGAAGAGATCGTACGCTGACCAGTGAATCAGAGTCAAAATGACAAGCAGTGGGATGTCAAGAAAGTGCCGCTTTTCATGACATGTTTGACCAACATGTTGCAATGTGCCGCCAGGTGAAAGGGGCTTTTGCTCGATCAGGTAAGCCTATAGAGAGGCCACATGATGTCACAGAGATTGTTCGGACCTGGCTCAAGTGGTTCGCACGCATTCACTGAAGTGGGTGATCGACACTGAGCTGGTGCAGGCTAAGCTGGGAGGAGTTGCGAGAACCCTTGGAGGTGCGACGAACCTTGTCCTGGTGTCCCGTTTCTTGATGTTTCTTTGGGTCTTCTTGAGTTAACATCCTCATGAGCCAAGCCCCCCAACCCCAATGGCTCCTTTTTGGAAGTGCAAAGTTTTTTGCGATGCAAAACGACACATTTGGACGCCAAAACGATGGGGGCGGAGATGCGGAGCGATGCGGAGAGGCGTTGTTGCAGCCCTTCGGGGTTCATTTGGGGGTCCGCCGCTCAGTAAATTTGGATCTCAGAAACTGTGATCATCAATGTGTGCGTGCAAAACCCTTCAAGTCACAGGGCAGAGTGAGTTCTACAGCCATGGCTTCTGTTTTGCAGGAAAGTACTCATGAAGTATAGACATGCATATGTATACTGCTTTTGGCAGACTTGCCTTTCGTTGGAGTTTGAAACGTGCTCTCGATTCTTGTTCATGGAGCCTTGTTGAGGAAAACGATTAGAATTGACTTTATGTTCATATTAATTACTTGTTTTTGTTAGGCCATTTTTAGACTCAGGCTTTTGAGGGCCGGCCGCAGCAGTTCTCTTTCATTCTCGGGTCTCTTCTTTGGTTGACCCATACAATGAAAGTAAAAAAAAAAGATGGGCGATGTCGCCGATTAACGCAGACACTTACTTCGTTTTGCTGTGCTAGTAATGTGCAATCTAGACGCAGATTGTACCTGCGAGATGGTGTGTTTTACTCCGTTTTTTTCACCTAGACTTCCTCCGGCGCCGCATTCCGACCATACGTATGTTCGTCACATTTTTTGCATTTTGTTGGAGGATGAATCTTTCAAACGACAGGCCATCCTGTCTGCTCGGTTTCTTTTGACACTCTCGCATGATGAGTTAGTAGGGTCTGAGGCAACTGTTTCATCTAAGGTAAAGGATCGGTTCTTGGAGCACTTGTGCCAAACTCATGGGCAAGATGAGGATGCCCAATCCACTCTTTGCATGGCGAACTGCATGAGGTGACAGGTAGGCTTTGCTAGTCAGAGCGAGAAAACAACCTTGGCAACCGGCAGCAATAAACATGATTGCATGTGCAAGTCAAACAACATGAAAGGCACGTAAACCGATCCAGATTTGTGCAGGATGGGTTGATGGACAGAAAAGGCATTCTTGTGCTTTGCAAGACAGTGCTGCAGGCACAACGCTAACACGCTGCAGCATGAAGAAAGACTTAAGAAGACTGCAGAGACAGACGTTCAAAGATGAGCAGACGTGCAGGACAGATATCGCTCGTGGTTTCCAGAGATTCTCCCTGCAGGGAAGCTCAACTCTGCGAGAGACAGTACAAATTACGTCAAACTTTCTGGGAGTGAAATCTCAAGTGAATTAAATACAGAGTTTGCCCGGATTTGTCTTCAGCAAGATAATTAAACATTCTGCTCAGTTCGTCGTTCAGACAAGCCCACAACACATGTCAACCAAACATACGATGTTTCATGCAAGATGTTTGGATGGATAAGTGTGCATCCTTTCTACTTTCTACACGAAGCGCTGGGGTGGTGCAGGGGGAGGTATATCAAGGAAGCTAGCTGGCTAGATGGCTCAGGTGTCAACAGCAAATTTTGTGAAGCAAAATCGGAGACCTTTGGAAGAGGCGGGTTGAGTCTGAATTACTTATTGAAACACGCTGAACTATTTTCAGTGCTTCATGCTTGCCTCTCAGCTTTACACTATGGGCAAGAAGCTTGGCCGCGGCCTCAACAGAGACTACATGCTCAATGGTGTTGTGCGACCAGTGGCCGGTACTGAATATCAATTTCGTGGTCCAACCTCCTGAGCAGAACATGTCTCATTTTGTAACTATCTACTACAATATTGTGTATACATCAGTTCTGCAATGTTCTGCATACTGCATAGTTCTTGAAACTAATTGTCATTTGTAGTTGTGGCAAAAAGCAAGTCTTTTTTAGGCGAAGGCAGCTTTGGCACGGTCTATGAAGTGGATCACAAGGTGCCACTTGTTGATCATGTTTTCCTTGAGATCATGTTTTGTGTGGGTCAATTTCTCCCTAATGTTCAGGCTTTCCTAGTTTAAGGCACTCACTTTGTTTCTTTCAAAAGCGATGGATCACAGCATTTTCAACCGAAATCTAAAGATCAACTTGTGAAATATTCTTACTACCAGTAACAAGAAGCGACAGCTCCGACCCGCCCTGAAGCTCTCCGGCGAGCGTCGAGTTTGCAAAAAGATTTGGAAGACGAAGCCCATGAGCTCAGCAGACCGGCATTCTTTGCTCTTGCCGTTTGGATGCTTTGTGAAGCTTTTGCAGGCAGTTTTCAAGCTTCAATGTTGCTTTGTGCCACCACCAGTGCAAGAAGCACCTCAGGTCAGACATGACAAGTCAACAGATCTTGCAAGAAATTGGAAACATGGCAATGCTGGACCATCCTAATGCCAGACCCTCAGTACCATGCGTCTAGGGGCCTTTCAACCTATGGAGAGCTGCTTGAAAGCTCACTCATGGCTTGGTTTGAGCACAACGCGAAACATTTTTTTCCGCCTGTCTTGCAACAAGAGGATGTCCTAGAATCCAGCAAACGAGGTTATCAAAGTCTTTGAATACTTTGATGAACCGAACTTTGCTCAGCTCTGAGATCATCCTGTTTTCAAGAGAGGTGAACAGTTTCGTAGTTGCAAGTCTACTCCTGCAGCACAGAGAATTCAATCAGGCATGCCTCGACATGTTCGTGGGTCAATGTGAATCAATAATTTGAGTAATTAGAGACGTAGAAGGGTCAGATGATGTTTTGTTCTCTCTTTTGCTACGAGACGTTTTTCAAGTTGTTCAAGTTCAACTACCAAGGTGAGCCAGATCATGGAACCATGTTATGGTGGAGAGCTGCAAGACAAGGCCCTGTGCAGCATCGCACTGCACTCGTGGGCGCTTCCTTTTGGGTGTAGACTGCGCAGACAGCTGTGGTGGGTGACCGGTTGCGAGGGAAGACCGAAATGGATGGAAGGATCGCCCCTAGTAGCATCCTTGCTCCTAGTAGCGATGCCCTTTGCTCCTAGTAGCGTCGTTGCCTACCCAGATGAAGCACCTGTAAGGAGGCTTTTACCACAGGTCAGAACTGGCAGGGAGGTCAGAGGCTCACTGGAAGGACGTGGTGTTGGATGGGCAGGGCAAGCAGAAAAAGAGCAGAACAACAGTTGTACTTAGGCCGAGGTTTTGAAAGGTATGCACGCTTGCTGCCAAACATGCGCAAGGGAACTGCAAACAAACCGTTTTGACCAACCAACTCCATAGTAGGCAGTCACAGTTACTCGTAAAAAGCATGCGAGTCCAGAGTCGTTTGCCACTCCTCGGGCTCAGAGAGGCTTAGTGGTACAGTCAAGATGACTAAGTGCTCGAGCACAAGATTAGTGTATAATTGTGCATCTAGTTTGTGTAACCTTGGATTTCAATCAACAGTTGCTTCACTTCAGTTGGTATTTGCTTGCCCTGTCCTTTTGCTTGAGCTTTGCGCTTGACAGGTGAATGTGCTGAGGAAAACAGGGAAGGTGCCATGCACTTCTTGTTTGGGACAATGATGTACAATGGACAAGGACATGTTGTGAGCATTGCCCAACATGCTCAACACTGCATTCCCATGTTGCCTGTTGCAGGCCCCGTATGATGAAGCCTTCGTGTGTGATGTCATGAAGCAAACTCTCCGGGCCACTCAAATGCACCGGAGATCCATGGATTATATAGTTAGTTGACAACGCAAGCGAAGAGGGAACCGCATCTCGTCACACATTTTGGGATTCTTCTGAACGTCGCACCTTGGTGAGTTGTTGAAAGATCAAGCCTAAGGCATTGGCTTTCATGCACAAGAAGCCCTTCTTACACAAGGAGATCATCGCGTCACGCGAAAGAGTTGAGCACCGATGCCCAGCGAATCCGAGACTCCAGTGTTCGTCGGCCAGGACTTGAAGCCACAGAACATCATGTTGGTAGACCAGGCATGAGTCCATCATCTTTATACATGGACCATGTCGGCATGCTAAATAGCCGCATGCTGGCTTGACCTTTTGAAGGATAGCTCCTCAATCAAAGTCATTGACTTTGGCCTGGCCGAGCTTTTCAATCCTCAGCAGAAGTCTGGCACTGATTCTCCAACAGAGCACGTGTGCTTGTGGACAAGCAATGTGTGACAGTTGACCGCTCTCAACACTGATCAGGTTCGCAAATTTCATTGGCGGTACCCGGCTGTACATGGCACCAGAGGTGGGACTGCTGATATGCATTCTCTGACATCCTGGCAACTGCAGACTTAAAAGAAGGTTCAATGCCCCGGATGTTGATAGCCTCTTGTTTGTTTACGTTGTTCAATCCAAGGCAGCGGACTAGGCTTGTTGCTGGGTATTTCGAGGTCTTTCGGCAACAGATGACGATCAAGACCGACATTTGGAGCGCATGACCCTCATGCCACCATGTTTGAGTTTTGAGTCAGTTCGAACTTTTTGGAGGGCTTGTCACTCCTTTTGCGAATCCGGCCCCGCACGACTCGTTTTCTTCATCTTTGTTAGGCTGGCGTGATCCTTTACAACTTGATGACGGGTGACTTCCCCTTCCTTGCTCAGTGGTTTGAAGCTCAAGGTCCTAAAGATTTGAGGTAGCCACACCAACAGGTGGATGTGATAGATCGAATCAGAAGGTTCACAAACATTTAACATATTGTTAAAGATGTTAAAGGCAGGTGAACGCTAAATGCCTGTTCGTGCAAGTCCAGAATCTCTTTTGAAACCCTAGGCCTCCACCAAAAGGCAAAGATGAAGCTTGGTGGGGTGCCTGGAAAGTCAGGGTGTCCCACGTTCGCCCACAAGCTGTGGGGACCGACATGTTTTTGCCACACGACCAGATGAAGGGTACTGTACCAGATCTCCGTATACACAGCATTCCGTCGAGATGCCCAGTAAGGTGGGAAGAGCAGACGATTCTGAAGATCAAGAATGAACAGCCAGTGAGGCCAGACGTGCAGACGCGAGACCATCGTTGGGCGGCCTTAGTGTGCATCAGGGCCTGAAGGGGTTCAATGATGTCACATCATAAGCAAATCAGCGACAATGCCGCAAAAGTTTGGTACCCTACAGATGCTTATACTGGCCTGCCGCGTCTGCAATTCAAATTTGGTCAGATGACATTCCTGCCTCCATGTGAATTCTGCTCTTGGCTGGGGTTCAGGAACCCTTCGCTCAACAAGTGGTCAGCGCAATGCCACAAGCTCAGAAGTGCTGAACAAGCCAACTCCAGTCTAAACATGCTATGACCGGAGAACGCTTCTGTGTGCAATTCTCCTGAGATGATTCTTTACATGATACGTCTTTTTGAGAGGCTCAAGACTCGAAGACAGGGCCGGCAGATGCCCCAAGAACGCTACTTAATTCCGTTGAGCACGGCTTCACGAGAGCACACAATCACAAAAAGGATTCAATTCTCACATGGATCAACAGGCTAGATCTCCTCAGGCAGACAACACGACACCAATCCACAAAAGAAATCTAACCCTGCATTTGGGAGAAGCTTTTCTGATAATTTCTGATACATTTGCACCGTTAGTTGCATGTCATTTCGGTTAACGTGGGTACACGTCCTTTTTTCCAACAACGCACTCCATCCACACAACCACAAGTAACACATTCCAACACCACACTTCCTATCGGGCCGGCCATGTTGAATCCTGCCACTGTGCGGACGGTTTCTAGAGGTCGAGAGGCCTTTTTAGTGAAGGTGAAGCCAGGGCCACAAGGGCCTGACGCCTACTACACACGAGTCCTGGCAGAAAGATTGTCAAGAAGAAGGAACACTAACAAAGAAGACCGTCAATTCATGTAAAATCTCCAAGGATCAAGGATATCAAGTGCTCTGAGCTTTGTGTTGGTGGCCCTTGCTTTTCCATCTCGCAAGGAGTAAATGGAGATGAGATAGAAGACTGTGAGGACTGTGCAGATGGTGACTGCGGTCGCTCAGCCGCAATAGATCGGCAGTACACGAGTGTATAGACACACACATGCTGCATGCTGGATAGGATTCTTGTCTCCATACTATGATGTGTCAACTACACCGGAAGCGCCTGATAGTTGGATAACTGTCACGACTTTCTTTTTGCTATTAATTAGTCCTCTAGTCTGCTGAGATCACTGGTATCATGACAATGTCAAAAAGCAACAACATCTGGATACTTTAAGATGTATATAACCTGGCATGAAGCGATGTGGCGATGGGTCAAGACCTAGATCGGCGGGTAAGGCAGGGTCAACCAGCGGCCGTGTGTTTTCAAAGAGCCTCAGGATTCTCTACAGTCCAACGAGAGAAGTGGGTTCATGTTGGAGCTGGCAGAGGGACCTATTCAAAGACGGGCTGTGACAGAAACCTTGGAACTTGTTGAGCTTGTGTTTCATGAGAGAGGCACAGAAATATGGAGCCACATAAACAGTCAAACAAGTATGGAGCCTGCTTTCGTCTATGGCGCACATTTAGTATCAACAAGCCTTTGAAACATTTTGAAACCATGCGTCCAAGCGCCAGTTTGCAGGACAAATAGCATGTTGTACGTGGGGGACAATCATGGTTGCTATGAGAAAGAACAGGTTATCCATCGCAAGTGTCTTGGGCAGCATCTTCAAGGCATCCGTCTTCATCCGTATCTCATCCGCTTCTAGGTTGGAGGCCATCGCTCTTAGGTTGGAGGCCATCTCTATTGGGTTGGAGGCCATCGCTATTAGGTTCCTTTTGCTATTAGGGTCCATATGCTATTAGGTTGGAGGCTGGGTCAGAGATGAACCGTGGGCGGGCTCAGGGGACTCGTGGACTCGTGGGCCACTTCAGGTGGAGCTGGCTTTCGAGTGGTGGCCTTTATGCGATCTTCTTTTGCGCGCTCGCCATTATACTTTCGGGCATTTCTCTGGGCTTGCTCATAAATCACTACTTCCTGCATGCGCCAGCAAGGACAGATCCTTGAAACCACTTTCTTTGCTGGGTAGTGGGCTGGTTGCATGTTGAGCTGCTGCTCCCAACGTTTAGAGTCTCAAGGCCTTACCCTTCTGCAGTGTTGCAATGTTATGTATGCTGCATGCTGCATGCTGTATACTACATGTCTTTGTATTCTAAAACACGCTGTACTGGTTGCATCACGGCTGACACCGTTTCTTCATGTTTGTTCTTTCCAAGCAAGATGCAGTCACAGCTCCTCATTGTGCGAACCAAGCCTTCCAGATCTTGCCACGATTGTGGCCGTCCTTCACAAGGCACTTACCCCAAGGGATAGATCTTTTTGTTGATTTTTTGAGGATTTGTTGGGATTCCTTCGCGACACCAGGAGCCCAACTAGCGTCCTGGTGAAGGGCGGAACTCTCAGCCCCGATGCTGGACATCGCCCCGCGGTGCGTCCGGGTCATGTGCCGGAGCTAGGCGGTGCAGAGAAATCGACCTCGCGCGATGGAGCGTCGGAGTTGGAGGATTCAGAGGTCGGAGAAGATCAGAGGGAAGCAAGCAGATATCCTTTTGACTGCAGCGAGCTCAGATTGAATCTTCATGCAGCTACTGACTACAGATGTGACACAGATGTGATGGAGTGATGGAACAATTTTTTGCAGGCAGATTGGAACGGGACGGGTGGGATATCAATTGGTCCAAAGAGAAGAAGGCTCGTCCAAATGCTGCTGTTTAAGCCTTGTTTGTGCCGCATTGATGTCTTATTGAGTTGAGACTTACTCTAGATTTTATTGTTCCCTTGCACATCCAAGAAGCATGCTTGCTCTTTTTAGTAAAACCATGTAAAGACTGTATTTTGGCATTTGCAGGCAAATGTTTGTGCACTTTCGAGCCTGACGTTCAATCAACATCAGTGTTTGCTTTATGCCATTGTTACGATAGTTTAGGAGGGATCAAGATATATAATGACTCTGTCACGTCGCAAAAAGTATTGCTTAACTACACGTTGAACACCAACATAGAACCGAGGAAAAGAATGTTTGCTTGACAAGGGTTCTTGCAAAAAAAACACACTCGGCCAGTGCCTTTGAATCAACAGAATACGGAATTCAATGTGAGACGTATGCACCTTGAAGGGCAGACCCTTTGAAAACTGCTAGGAATACTGCTGTTCAGCTGTGAACTTCGGCTGCGCAACAGAGCCCTTCGACTGTGAGTTGCAAAAGGATCAGTTCAAGACAGTATGGACGCCACAAAAGCAAGCTGGCAGCATTTGATAAGGCTTTCTCCTTTTTTGTGGCAACATTCTTGCGGATCCTTCAAGGGCATTGGGAACCTCGTCACGTTGTTTATGCTGGAGACTTGAATAACGACCTGGCTAAAACGAGCGTTTTATACAAATTCCGTGTGGTATACGTGGCATTTCGGCTATGTCCGCAGGGACACTGGGGAGAGCGGGTTGCTGGGTGGATCAGTGGAGTGGGGCTGATGACTTTCGTTGTAGATGTTGCGGCAACGACATTGCTGTGTGATCATTGCTGCGGGAGGCTGTGAGGTGGGTGGGGTTGGGTGGGGATAATGACGTTTGTTGTGGTTGCTATGGCAACGACATGTGGATCATTGTGCAACGACATTGCAGCCTGGAGCATGCTGTAGTGCAAAGGACTTGCTGCGTAATGTACATAGATAGTGTATGTGATTATGATATTGTCGTTGAACGTGCCCAGTGTCCAGCATAGATATTTTTGTCAAGTTTGTCGGTGAATCACAATGTCCCATTGTGCGAAGGTCACAAATGATCGGGTTGAAATCCGCAGAAGCGGCTCATAAAAATAGTCTGGTTGTTGTGCACTCGAGATGTCGACATGGCCTGAGTTCATCAAGTCGGCAGAAGCAGTGCAGCCGGATGAAGCTGCCATTGAGGCAGTAGCTGCAATTTTCAGGGACAAACTCAAAGCCACGGCGCCGCTGCAAGCTGAAGGCATTTCTGAACATTCCTTGAATAGACAGCTTCAATCTGCCGATGATCATGTGATGGCTCTGGCACGTAGGACTTTGAGAAATGTCGAGGCAGCGGCGGTGGCTAGATGCAGTCCGCACCTTGTGTCTGCACTCCCTGCTACTGTTTCAGGCGCAGCAAGTGCCAAAGCCTTGGCTAACGCACTGGCGCCGGGCAAAGTCGTGGACGTGGCAGACTTGTTGCAGAAGGAGGGCCTCACAGGCTTGAGTTACCACCTGCAAGCCAACCAATCCTTGTTTGACACCTTGATGGCACCTTACTTCCAAGGAGTGCTTGCCCCTCTGGATTCCGGTGGATTCTGTTGGTGGCCGCTTTGCCATTCGTGATGAGGAGGATGTCGCATTGACAAGCTCTAGCCCCATTTCCAATTTAGGCGACTTGAGCATAGCCTTGAAGGGAGCCACTTCGGCTCCTCGCTTTTTCCGGTCGGTGCAGCAGTGGACGGCTGCATACTGGCGTTGGGCCGTGGCTGCCATCAGCGCGGAGCATTGGCAGATTGCCCATGCAGTCACTAGCCCGCCAGGATGTTATCTTGCAGCTCGCCGAGCAGGACAGGTTGAAGTCCAAACCGCCTTATGCTGCCTTTCTCTATGACGACGAGATGCCAGAAGGGCAGAGAAACGTGATCCCACCTTTGACCTCAAGCCCGAGGCGCGCAGTCCACCAGCAGCTTGCCAGTGTTTTGCAGCAAGCCGGCGTTGATGGGCTTTCCCGTGTCCCTCAAGACCAGGCTGCTTTGTCTCAACAGCTTGCGTCACCCGAGCTGCCCAGAGAAGAGCTGAACAGGTGGAGAAAAGGTTGGCAGAGGCGAGACGCCAATTGTTGGACAAGTCTGCTGACGCCAGCAAGCCCGAACCCTCCCGCAAGCAGATTAAGACACAGAAGTGGTGGGACAAGAAGCAAGACCGTACTCAGCAGCAGAAAGCCAAGAAGCCGAACATCTGACCGCATCAGCGCAGCGCAGTGCTGCTTTCTGGTTTTGAGGAGAGGGGTGAAGTCAGTCAACCGGTCACGCAGGCATGTTTCATTGAAAGGCATGTTGAGGAATTGGTGCCTTTTGGGCTTGGTGCTGTTAAAGGTCTCTCGCCACTGGAACATGTCGAATTTGCGATGACGGCCCCGCGTCCTCCTGAAAACGGGGTTGGTCTGACTGCAGACCTTCTTGAAGCCATCTGTTTCGAATGCTTTCAGTCTCCTGAAATTGTTGATTCGATGCGGCAAAGCATTTTGGCCAGGATAATCCGTTTGCATGCAGCCCTCGAC